ATATCATTTCAAGGTGGACTCGACTTCGCGACGGAGGAGCCATCTGCAACTCAATTCGACAGGGAGTTATTCTTCAACTCCACCGAACGAAAATTTGTGTCTTTTTGTCTTTGTCCTAGTTTTCGTTCCACGAAAAAGGACAAAGAGGGGCAGCTGTAGACACTAATTTCCGTCCATATTTTTTTTTATTTTATACATATATACACATATATATTATATAGTTTGCAAATTGTTTTTGAAAATACATATATAATATATAGTTTAAAACATTTTTTGAAAATATGTATATCATATAGTTTTTAAAATATTTTTGAAAATTATATAATATATAGTTTTTGAAAACGTTTTTAAAATATATATAATATATACTTTTGAAAACGTTATGAAAACATTTATATAATATATAATTTTTAAAAACCATTTTGAAAATATATTTTTTGAAAATTATATAATATATAGTTTTTGAAAATGTTTTTAAAATATATATAATATATACTTTTGAAAACGTTATGAAAACATTTATATAATATATAATTTTTAAAAACCATTTTGAAAATATATATAATATATAGTTTTTTTAAAACATTTTAAAAATTTATATATTATATGTTTTTGAAAACGTTTATATATATAATATTATTATTATTTATTTTTATTTTTAATTTATTTATTTCTCATTTATTTTTGTGCAAGGTCCATGTTCAAGAATCCAGTCCAAGTTTGGGCCTGAACTAGCCAGCAAGGGATTAGGGTTCCCAGTTTTCAGTCACCGAACAGTCAGGGAGCCAAACGGTCAACAGTGCCAACGGCCGGCCGAGATCCCCGGGACTGACCCATCCCGGGATGACCGGCCACAACAACCACGATCCCAAGATCGTCGGGACTCACAACGGCCGGTGGGGTTTATAAAAACCCACGACCAACACAGTACAGGGGGACCATCATCGGTACCACAACAGATCATCCACAGAAAACCAGAATCATCAAACCACATGACCAACACGGTCAAAAACATCAACCATCACTGAACTCACGAGAGAACCAACCAGCATAGTAACCAAACAAGACTCCATCGAGTCAACAGCACATCAAAAACCTGAAAACAACACAAAATAACCAAACACAAAACCAAACAAACCCAAGTCATACACACAACAGCCATCACACAAACGACACCATCAAATCGCAAATACTGAACAGAAAACCAAAAACACTAATAGTAAATCATCAGACAACACAAGCATCAAAGCAACGACCAAGGCCAAAAGACCCAGATCGTCGAAGCATCGGAAAAACGAAAGGTTTTTTTACGAAAAGGTAAAAAGGCCGAAGCTTTTTACCAGATCTACGCCGAGGGGACCCGATTTTGGGTGATTGGGGCTCGGATTTGTGTTTAGAGTGGTTAGAGAGTGTTTGGTGAGGATTTGGGTTGGTCCGGCCGCCGGAGCAACTGAGAGCGGCGGCCAGAGCGACTGAGAGCGGCGGCCGGAGCTACACCGGTGGGGTAGGGTAGAGAGAACGCAGAGAGAATCTCTGTTCTCTCATTTGAAGAGAGAGGGAGCCCAGGAGCAAATGAGAGGGTTTGACGTTATTTTACTCTCACATGGGCCTTTTATACTGCTGATGAAACGACGTAGTTTCAGTTGGGGGGCATTTATGTATTTTTCTCACGGGTAAACTCGGTCCTCGGCCATCAGGTTTTGTCATATTTGTAATTTGGTCACTAAATTTTATTTTTCAGTATTTTAATTTGGAATTTTAATTTGTTATGCTTATATTTTAGTCCCCAAGTTATATATTTCCGAATCTGGCCCAAGGTTTTATGCAAATTTTATTTTGGTCACTAATTAACATCATTTTTTATTATTATTTTTAACCCTTTTTTTATTTATTCAATTTCGTCTTTTTTTATTTTATTATTCTATTGTTTTGTTATTTATTTATTTAATGTTTAATTATTATTTTATCATTTAACATTTTTCGACATTTTCAGTGGTAACTTCAATCGATCAAAGGTAAACAATTCGAATCGCATAGTTTAAATTTTAATTTAAATTTCAAATTTTCGCAACTAAGACAACCGACAAATTAATTGGTACCGAAAGGGCGGTTCAAGGGTGCTAATCCTTCCTTGACCGTAACCGACTCCCGAACCCGACACATTTCTGGTACAACGCAGATCAGGTAAGATGGTGTCCGACTCACTTAAATTCATTTTAAAATGGTCGGTGCCGACTCTAATCCACATTTTTCACGTCGAAGCCCAATCCCGGGGCTCAACCGAAAGACGGTTGCGACAGTGGGGGAATATATATAGAAAATTTTATAAAAAGAATCAAATTTAATTATTTAAATTTGGTTAGTTCAAGCACTTTTGAAGTGGTTTGATTTAGTATTAAAAATATGTTTTAACCTATATGTATTCAAGTTTTATGAGTTGAAAAAAAATATAATTTATTTATTGAAGAAATAAAATTGCGAGACAAATTAGGGTAAGTTGGTAGTAAAAAGCTTATATCCCGCGATTGATATTCATCGGTCACTAATCTCAATCGAAGGTGTGGGATAGAGTCCCCATAATATGAACTTTGTCACACGTATCAAATATGTACGGCAATAGATTTTCTACTGTTAGGTTTTGATTAAGAATAGAAAATCTAATTTGAATAGATTTTTTTGTTAAACTTTTTGTTACGATTTTTATTAATTAAATAATTAACCTATAAATAGACCTTTGAAATCAGGATTAAAAGTTAAATTGATTAAGTTGTTATGTAATAATTATTGGTGACTAAATTTGTTTTCCATATAAATATAGTATACGTCTTACTCTTTAAAATCACACACACAACCCAATATATCTCAAAACAATTTTTCATCATTCTCAAAAAATTTATTTCTATAACGTAAAGGTTTAATATAAAAGTACTTTTGAGACATAAAGAATATTTTGTTAAAAATATGTGTCTAACGTTTTATGTGTTACCCTTTTAAATGTTTACATCGTAACTACTGTATATTCTGCCGTTAATTGACACATATCATATTTATATATTTTTTTAAAAAATAAAAATAATATTAAAAAAACTTTCCCTCCCCATTATTGTTCCCTTGTTTCCATCCCCTCTCCCGTCATTGTCCCTGGTTCCCCTCTCACTGTGCAATCTCCTACAATTCTTTAAATCACCTCTTACAAGACGTCGAACGGTTTAAATGGGTGCAAATCATCTGTAGATTACACGATTGATGATGGGTATTTGAGATAGGGTAGGAGATTTGAGATTTAGAGCTTAGAGATTTAAATTTTGAAATTTATAGATTTAGGGGGATTTTGACAATAGTAAGAGGGATAATTGACAGTGAAAGTCCGATAATATGTGGATAATCATTCGATGATGGTGAAGGTGACAGGTGATGGCTGACGGCGGTTGGCAACTTGAGTTAAAATAATATATTTTAAGGTTTTGGGGTCTTTTTTATATTTTCTTAAAAAATTGAGTTTTTTAAATTAATAATATTTTTAAATTCTCTTTTAAAAAATAAAAACTTCAAAAAAATATGAGAGTGACATGTGCCACTTAATACTCAAATTTAATGAAAAATTAAACGCATATTCTAACGAAAAATTCTTTAATTAATAAAAATTAATTTTAAATATATTTAGGCGCTTTTTTTTATATTAAGTCTATGGTAAACCCCAGAAGTTATAGCTGAAATCTTTTGTATTCTTATTATTGGTATTAATGAAAATTTTTCCTTTCTATTTGTGATTCTTTAAGTAAAAAAAATTGTCTCTAGCAATGCAACTTCGACGTTGGTACCAATATTTCTAAAAGGAAGAAGATTAGTCGTCTTCATTTATAAATAAATAATTATGAATTTGGAAAATAAAAAAAGTCAAAAATTCCCAAATTTTGAAACCGTGTTTAATGGCGGCCCTTTAACCTATTACTTTGTTCAAGCCAATTAAATTTGAACATGTGGGCTGTGTTAAATATATTTTATTATTTAATTTAATATATTATATTATTATTTAAACATTAAAAACTTATTTAGTCAACATTCGAGAGAGAGAAAAAACCAAAAAATTGTCATTCTCTCCATCTCCATATCCATATCCATATCACTGATTTCGTTAGATCTAAAAGTAATTAATCTTTCTAAATCATAAATCATTCCAAACCCATAACGTAGACCTAAATACATAAATCAGTTTGATTGAAACTTATCTTTGATAATTGATAATTGATTTTTTTTAGAAAAATATATTTAAATAGTTTAATCATATAATACAAGGTAAAAATTCAAATGAATTTAATATGTAGATTGTTACTAAATAAATTTATAATCAAAGAATCAATCATGTGGTAACAATTTAATTATTAAATTCATCTGGATTTAACCAAAATGAATGATTGATTCTCTGATTATAAATTTATTTGGTAACAATCTAAATATTGGATTTTTACCTTGTATTCTATGATTAAACTATTAAAATATATATTTTTTAAAAATCAATTATCAAAATAATATGTATTTCAAATTATTTCTTAAAATAATATTTGTATACCTTATAAAATATATATATCATATTTTTATTAATTTGGATCTATCTTAAATTTTTACAATCACTTAAAGAATTATTATATGTTTAAGTCTACCAGAGACCAGATGGTTGCTTTTTACAAGAGCATGAAAATATCATATAACTAACATAAGTGACAATTTTAAAAAAGTTAATGACATATTTTGACTTATTGATGGAACATGTATTATTTACATGTTAAATGTGTTAATCTAGTAAATCTAATAAATAATTATAATAATAAAAGATGTTTAAACCAAAAAAGAAAAGAAATAGAGAGTATACTTTGTATTACTGGACGAGTACAGCATACATACCGAGTAAGTTCCTCGCAGTTGCAGAATCCCAAACTTTGCATTACATTTCTGAGAACACACTGTCTTGTCTTTTCTTGTCTTGTGTTGTGTTGTATGAGAACACCTTAATCCCTCAGATTAACCAAAACCCTCCATTAATTCTCACCGCCTCCCGACACATAATCTTTCTTCTTTGCTGCGCTCATTCGGTATATGGCATCTTTGACTGTGCTCTGCCTTTTACCCATCTTAATCCTCCTTTCTTGCATCAACATCAAGGCTGAGTGTTTTGATTTCAACTTCACAGATTTCCAGGAAGAAAACAGAAAAGATCTGTTGCTGACTGAGAACTCCACTATTTTCAGAGATGCCCTCCAAATCACACCCGATCTCAGCGGAGACGTTAAATACACACCGGGAAGGGCATATTACGCCAAGAAATTCAAGCTATGGGATAGAAAGAAAAGAAGATTAGCGTCTTTCAATACAACCTTCGTCATTAATATCAGTAACAAGAACTCACCGGAAGTCGGGGAAGGTTTAGCTTTTGTGCTCAGTGCAGATTCCGATGTCCCGAATGGCAGCTTCGGCCAATGGCTCGGCCTTGTCAATGCCACCACCAACGGAACCTCTCGAGCAGGGATCGTCGGCGTGGAGTTCGACACCAGGAAGAGTTATGAACAAGACCCTGACGGCAACCATCTCGGCTTGGATATCAATAGCTGTTATTCCATCGAGCAACGATCGTTGAGTGGCTACGGCGTTAATCTTTCCGTGGGCGTCGATGTGTTGGCCGTTGTTCAATACGACGGAAAAAACATGACCGTTTTCGTTTCCAACAGAAACCAGAAACGGAGTCAAGTTCCGGTACTCTCAGTGCCTATCAATCTCTCCCTGTTTCTTCCAGAAACTGTCCATGTGGGATTCTCAGCTTCGACTGGAGAATTCCAAGAGCTGAACTGTGTGAGAGCTTGGGAATTTCATGGTGAAGATATGGGTGAAGATTCAAATCTGTTGTGGGTTTGGATTTTTATCCCGATTCTCGCTCTGGGTATGGTTCTGGGACTGGGTTTTTACATCCATTGGAGAAGTAGAAGATCCAGAAAGGATGATCCAGAAAAAGCGTTTCAAAATATAGAAGATCATATTAAGAGCTCCACTGCTCCAAGAAGATTCAAACTCAGAGAACTGAAGAGAGAAACAAACAATTTTAACCACAAAAACAAGCTTGGAAAAGGCGGATTCGGCACGGTTTATAAAGGGATTTGGAAAGAACAAGAGATCGCTGTCAAAAGAGTGTCGAAGAAATCACATCAAGGGAGCCAAGAATTCATAGCCGAAGTCACAACCATCGGCAGCTTGAACCACAAAAACCTCGTCAAACTAATCGGATGGTGCTACGAGAACAAAGAGCTCCTCCTCGTGTACGAGTACATGATGAACGGAAGCCTCGATAAGTTCATATTCTACGACGAGAAAACGGTCAAAAACGATGAACCGAATCAACCAAACCTAAGCTGGGAAACTAGGCTCATCATCATACAAGGTGTGGCCGAGGCACTCGATTATCTTCACAACGGATGTGAGAGAAGGGTGCTTCATAGGGACGTCAAGTGTAGCAACATAATGCTGGATTCGGAGTTCAATGCCAGATTGGGAGATTTCGGATTGGCAAGAACGATCCAACAAAGAGAGAAAACACATCACTCGACCATCGAGATCGCCGGCACACCGGGATATATGGCACCGGAGACGTTTCTAATCAGTCGGGCAACGGTCGAAACTGATGTTTATTCATATGGTGTCCTCCTCCTCGAAGTTGTATGTGGAAGAAAGCTTGGTAATCAGAGTGAGTTGAATAACTATAACAACAGTATTGTGAATTGGTTATGGGAATATCACAGGAAAGAAAAGATTACATACGCTGTGGATTCAAATTTGGAGGGAGATTTTGTGGAAAAAGAAGTGGAATCTGCACTTATTCTGGGTTTAGCTTGTTGTCATCCGAACCCACATTTCAGGCCTTCGATGAAGAATGTTTTGGTGGTTCTTACAGGGGAAGCTGATCCACCACAGGTGCCATTAGAAAGGCCTTCATTTGTGTGGCCTGCACTGCCCCCTGCTTTCAGCCACTCTGATTACTCTAGCACAAGTACTCAATTTAGTACTTTCTCTGAGGTCGATGGAAGATGAAGCATTGGATCTTCTGAGTTAATTTAAATTGTGTTCCGAATCAAGTTAAATTCGAGTACAAGATTATACATATAATAATGTTGTTCAATTCAATTCACTTTTTGTTGTTGTTGAGGGTGATCGTGTGAATATAAATGTTTTTCATGTTTGTTGTTGTAATTGGATTATGTCAAATATGAATCTCCTTGTAATTTATGCACATGCTCATTTATTTTCTTTTCTTTTTCTTAGTTTTGGCTTCGGAAGAAGTATTATGCATGTCCAAAATTTGATTATAATGTTTAATTGGGAGTGAATTGTTTGGTCATTCTGGAAAATTATCCATTCTACCTTCTTCTACATTGAAATATGAAAATTATTTTAAGTAATTATGAAAAAAAATCACATTATTTTATAAAAATATGTAAATAATGTAAAAAGATCTAAAAATATTTAAAAATAATATTATTTCAACAAATAATTGATTTTAAGACATAAAAATTGAAAATATTTTTGTAATTTTTATTATATTTTTCAAAAAAAAAATATTTTTATATTAAAAATTAAATAAGTTAAGCATTTTAATTAATTGATTTGAAGTGTTTGGTCTTAATGATTTAGTGTTATCATTGTCATATACCACAGTCTACTGATGTGATTTAACGATTTATGTTGGCTATCAAATTATCAATACTCCAGACTTGACAATTGTGCACTCCTTCCTGTTAGACTACACTTTCCTATTTTGGTTTCACCCCGAAGAAGCTGGCATTCTTCAGCACCGTGTCTTCAATGGATTTGTTTTCTTTATTCACGCGTTGTTGATGTTGGTCTTGGTCTTCACCTTTAGTGTAGTTGCGTTGTATGTCGGTTTTAATATATGGTTAAGAAATATCGTATTAAAAATATTATTAATTTTTTAATATTTTTAATAAAACGTTATCTAAAATATTATTTTTTTATTGAAAATATTATTTTTGATAACTAATTTTCGGTAAAATCTAATATTAATATTTTTGGTAAAAAAAAAATATTTTAGATATCGCTTTACCTGAAATGTTAAATATTTTAGGCAGCGCCTAATATTAACATTTTCGGTAGAAAAAATAATGTTTTAGGTAGTGCTTTATTGAAAAATGTTAAAAAAATAATAATGTTTTCGGTAACGTCTTTCCTTAGATGTATTAAGGTTGTCGTACATAAGACATCCCCTTTCCTGATGCCTAATTTATCATATGAAGTTTTCTGGCAATTTTATATTAAAAAATTCAAATAAATAATTATTTAAAAAAATATGATCCTCCATAAATTATTTTAAAGAATAACCCCCAAATTGTCCACATCGAACGACCTCGCAGCCTGCAAACAGTGTGTTAAATCCCCGTATCCTCCAACACGCGAGATACGTCTGATGTGGGTGCATTTTCCAGATAAGCCAATAAAACAGTTGGAGAAAATGACCTCGCGCATTGCGAAACGCGAGGTAGCCTTTATAATACAAAATATCGTGAGATTTATGGGGACCTCGCGGCCTACAAAGAGCGAGAAAAATAGATTCTCTACCCCCTTTAGTGTTCATAGCCTTGTTCGAATACTATTTTCGAGTAGGAAACTGAATTTGTTTTTAAATTTTTAATTATAAACGCTTAGTGTTACAATTTATCTTTAAGTTGACTATAATATCATCATATATAAGACATTTTAAGCAGGGTAAAAATGACATTGAAAATGTTTAGAAATCATGGTTTTGTGAAGGAATAAGAAAAAAATTGTTTGATAGACATATTAGAGTGTTACTTATGGCTTGTAAATATGAGTGATTTAAGAATTTATATGCTTAGAGGTATAGTATTGCAACGTATATTTATGTTAAGGCTAATTTGGCCACATACGAGATATTTTAATGGGGTAAACATCGTGTTGGAAAAGGTTGGAATGCATGAATAAATCAAAAGAAATTGAAAACTAAGTAATATGTGTTGTCAATTAAAAAAGAAATAATGTAAAAAACCCATTTAATTGATACGTGGGTATGAACGATTGGGACATTTGTTCTTCGTGCGTACGTGATTCTTACATATAGAGCATAATTTCAGTTGTCCGATTCTTTCTTGATGTTCAACTAAATCCTCGTCACAAAAAATTCGAGTTGACCGTGGACGACCGATTTTTTTCATCGTAGTGCATAATTTGGCCATATTGTAGGTTCATCGTCAGCTTCATTCGGATCCTATTCATTTCCAATGGGAGGGAACTAGTATTCATAAACCTTGAAAATAGTTTCAAGTAAGTAAACCCGATCAACGAATCTCATGTAGGGTATTCGAACAGAAGAAGTAGCAATAATGGTGTGCACACACAGGTATTTGAAAGTTTAGAAGAATCTGCATTCGAATATTTTTTCTCGTAAATTAATCACGTATGTGTTGTGTTGTATGCCTTCCAATGACCTCACAAATTCTGATACACATAATAATGACATTTCGTGAGAGAAGTATATGACACTCATTGCGTTGGAATGTTTAAAATTTACTAAAGAGGTCTGGATGGATTGGTGGCCTCCTGTCATCCAGCCAGCTACTTGTCTTCCCAAGGTTGTGAAAAGGGTTTCTATTCGATAATATGTCGCATTGACAACGGACGTGATAAGCAAATGACACACTCCCTTTAGTGATGAATTTATTACCTCAGCCAAGTTCGTTGTCATGTGACCATATCGTCTACCCCCATCAAATGATCAAAGTTATTTCTTCTTTGGGGTTCTAGTAAGGTAATTAAAGCTATGAGAATTCATGTGTCTCATTTTCTGCATCAGGTCCTCAAACTCACGTATGAACTGCGTGTAAACTATCTATAAAAAGTGGAACAATTAATTTGAACTAATTCTTGTAAAGATATGGTAAACCAAAAAGGGTGAAAGATGTACCCATTCAAAGAACCATTAGACGCTCATCTTGATTCTTAAACTTCTGCAAATAGTTTACGGTAATATGTCGTAAACAGTACCGATGATAAATATTAGGGGTTGGCAAGACGGGTCCATACGCTGGAGTGTGTATTTGATACTAGCGCCTCTTTCAACAATTATGAAGACGATGGAAATAGTTTTTCTGTTATCATCTTGTGCAACCGTCAATAACATTATTTGAGTTATTAGACCATATAACCAAGTACAGTCGATTTGAACAATTAGCTTACAGTGTCAAAATGCATTAATACATTGCGAAAAAGTCCAAAAGAGCTGATAGAATTGGAAGAAACCTTGTACAAGACGATCATTTTTGTACGCCGGGATTGTTTCCAATTTCACAACTATTCCCGAAATGTATTTCTGCATCAATTTAATCTATGGCCACAATTCATTGTATGATTCCTCCCATTGGCCGAATAATTTTTATTGGGCCTGATACCTTGTATATCATGCTTTGTGGTAGTCATCTGTGTACTGGTATAGCGATGTAACTTGAATGAAGGCATCAGAAAGTACGTACACATCCAAGTTACAATGATTTTAATTCAGGATGTTGGCGGTGCATGTATGTGGTTGGACGTATTTTGTGAGTTTCCAAAAGTTATTCATCGTCTTCAACCGTGGTACACGTACCCTTCAATTACATCCCTGCTTCTTGTGGAGATATTCAGCGATGTACTTATCCGCATCAGTTTTTTTTTCACATTTGACGTGATAGAGCGACGTATGTTGTAGTTCATGATTGCAGCTACAACTTGTTCTTTTATCTTAAAACTCATTCGTAAAAAGAGTAAATAAAATTGCCAACTTACCAATTAACAAATCAAAATAAATAATAAAAAATTAAAACATTATATTAACCTGAAAACGATTCTAACATAGAGATCACCAGTACTACGTTGATTGTATTGCTCAATGTGTGGGAATTGGGAAAATTACGGAGCGTTGCATGTTTCTATATCAATTGTAAAGTGTGATGGTGGCTGATAACAAAAAATAGACGTTGCAGCATGTGGAACCATTGTAGTCGCGCCGTATTCTTCATTGTCTTCTGCTTCTGGTTGAATGCCAAGGTCTTCTGGTTCTTCGTCAGAATGATCCCCTCAAAGTGGAATAGTTCAACCTCATTTAAATCAAAGTTAGCCGTAACTGCATGTGTTTTTCGATCACGAGACCGCTCACAAACCGTTACCCAATATCAACGTCACACATACCAGTAAAAGAATGTCTCCCCATATGTGTTGAGACGTTATCCGCATAAGAAATATACTCTAAATATCATCCAGATGAAAAATCATTGAATGGGTTAAACGTGGATTATTGCATTGGTTGCATGTTCAAGTCAAACTCGAATCTAGCAACACAAGAATGCCTTGAAATTGAAAACGATGATGCACCCAATCGTTCTGTGTACCGTGTGTGCTTAACAAATTGAAGTCGTTTGTCAAATTTGCCGTCGGGCTGTCAACAGTTGGATCAAATTCAAACTTCACTCGTCTCCAACTTAACACATTGGTACCATCATCAACCATTATATGCACATCAATATTGTCCTCAACGGTGTATATTGTGTACGTTAATGGTTTTAACGACATTGATAGTCGATACTGCAAGGGTAACAATTTTGTAAAGCGAGCATGTGGGACATTTTTCTTCACTTCCTTCATCAACTTGTTATACGTTAACTTTGTTGGTAGCGTTATTGTCACAGTGTGTGTGGATTGAAACACGACACCGAGAGATGCATCACCAATCATTTTGCTATCATAATTGCGGTTCCTCTTCCTCTTTAGTAATATCATCATCATCATCAGGATCAGTAGTTGTATATGGAATCGATCCACTACTAGAACTGGAACTGAGACCGATGTAAAATATGCTCTGCGGTAGTGTCTGATCAACAATACCGAATCGAAAGTTAGCCGCCAATTGTGTCGGTGGTGAATTCAACTGGTCAAAGACGTCGGTGAAGAAACCTTCTGAGAATTGCCCTATTTGCTGAAATGTTGATTGAGTCGAGTCGGTGAAGACATGGTCAAGATGTGTCAACGATGTCTGAGGAGGT